TTTATTGCAGGTAACGAACGAACCACACTTTGCTTATCCATTCATGAGTTGGTTGATATTTGGGTCATTCGCACCTTTTGGTTACCATGCATAATGAAAAACTGCGTACAAGTGTTGGTATTTCTCTTAGATTTATACCTAGGAGTAGTAACTATATGTTTAACATTTTGAGGCATTTATATAACTTGCAAAATAATCCCCCAATAAGCCTAGAACCCACCTGACACCATACATTATTATAATAGTATTGATTGTATTCCCTGTGCTGTACTTTACATCCTCATGACTGTTTTTATAACTGCCAATTTGTACTATAATTGGGCTATTTGACTTTTTATTGATAGTGTCGTTGGAAGAACAAAAGTTAATTTTAATAAAGTCTAATTTCTTTCTTTCTTTTGTTATTTGTGCTTTTGGTGTCATATCTAAGAAACTAATACCTAATCCAAGGTCATAAAAATTTATGCCTTTATGTTTTCTTCCAAGAATTTAATCGTCTTTTGCTTATGATGACTCTGGTGATGATCTATGCTTTTCAAGCAAGACAAGAAAAGGAGGGAAGTATTCCACGAAAAGATGAGTCAGTTCATTTTATTATTTTCTAAGTAATCCTAAGAGATTAATGCCTGGCCTAATAGGGAACATCAATACTTAGGGCCAAATGGAAAGAGTTTCATTGTGTATTTTAAGGATACTCCTGATCTTTCTTCCTATGTCCCTTCCTTACCTACTACTTAGGGTTTGCATTTTGTGTGTGTGATTTAGTTGTGAATGGTTATCAGCTGAGGGGGATGGAGGCTCCAAGCCTTTTTTTTTTTTAAATATGTCTTTATTGATTTCAGAAAGAGGGAGGGAGAGGGAGAGAGAGATAGAAACATTAATGATGAGAGAGCCATTGATGGCTGCCTCCTGCATCCCCCTACTGGGGATTGAGCCCGCAACCTGGCATGTGCCCTGACCGGAAATCGAACCGCTATTGCCTGGATCCTAGGTCGATGCTCAACCACTGAGCCATGCCAGCCGTCGCTCCAAGCCTCTTGATGACGCCAATCTTCCTCCAATCATCCCTCTGCAGCTGAACTTCCTCCTACTCCTCTTCCCAGAAGCACCACCTGCTGCTGTGCCCCCCGCAACATGACCCTGATGACAGGCACTTTTCCAGTGTGTGCCTGAGCTGCGACATCAGCACAGGCTTCTCAAGGTCAAAGCAGACGAAGGGTGCTCATTTTATGTTACGCGTTGCACTATAAATTTGAAATCAATTAAAAGACTAATCGACTTCCTTCAGATCCTCCTTAATCTCTCCTACATCGCATGCAGCCCCTCAAGGTCCTTCCTGCATAAGGCGAGCTGCACAAACCCGAAAACTCTGTTTCTGTCATCCTGCAGAACAAGAGGCCTTCCAGCAAAGGCCAGCCCTGGCTGCAGAGACAGCGTTTCCAGCCACCTGAACATAACGCGTCTGCTGTGCTAGATAGACCCCAGCAAGGAAGCGACCCCTCCTCCCTCTCTCAGACACGGACCCCACCTAGTCCCACAGGGTGACCTCCCGGGCTCCTTCCTCTCTATCCTGTAGCTCTCTCAGCGGGCTGCTACCCGGCTGCAGATCGACCCCCGCCCCAGGCCTTCGGGGCACATGACTGTTGCCTACATATTCAGGAAATTAATAAAAAATAAAATAAAAGCCATTCAACCCACACATCCTGCCCTGGAAAAAAACAAGCATTGTTCTGAAACATTTAAGGCAACATTCTTAAAGCCCCACATTTACACAGATTTTTATCACGTCTGTCCCTGGAGGCTGGAGTTTCTCATTAATACAGTGATCCCTGGAGTGTGTTTGGTTTGGCTCTCTGTTGCCAAGCTGGGGCAGTTAGCAGTCAAAGCCAAGCCCTGGCATTTGATCACACTTTGCATTTCACCCATCGGTCCTCCCCATCCCCTTTACCAACCAAATTTGATGGGAAAAAGAAGCTGGTTTTACACACACACACACACACACACACACACACACACACGTGGTAGCAACAACTCAAATACATTTAGTCATCAGCTTGGAAATTATAGTTATAACACATGTTCATTTGCAATCGCTGCATGTTTCTAATTGCTTATTTACTGTCAAAAGATTAGACAGCCCTTATCTCCTGCCCTTCCTTCCAGCAGCTGCGCACTGTCTACCGGCGGTGCTTCTTCCCGACCAGGCTCTCACGCTTTGCTCTTTAGATTTGAGATAATACAAATAATCAGCCACCCCCTGAACACTAGTGTGTGTCTAGGTTCTCCACATTTGACCCGAATTAGGACCAAAATCAATCCAATAATTTAAAAGTAAAATGTATAGGCAAGCTTTGTACAAGGTAGATAGTAATTGCAAAGCCTGCTCAGAATTTGAGTACAAAATGACAAAAGTCTCCAAAATATCTGAAGAAAAAGTGTCCCCAGTCCCTTTGGGAAATAGAGAACTAACATAATTTTTATACAAATATCCTTCTCAAGAATAGACTTTATTTTGACTTCATGTTTAGGGCACATAAATGATCAGAGGCATATGAAATTGCTAATAATGTAAGTTTATAACAAACCTCTCACTATGAGAAAGACAAAATGCTTTGTTTATAAATGAACAGGAATTCAAAATTTATAAAATAGTACTAGTGTTTTAATTTATAATACATTGAAATTAAATTTAAAAAAGTTTAAGTGACCCAAGGTCACACAATGGTAAGTGGAAGATCAAGGACACAGCAGGCATACAGGACTCCAAAGTTGAGTTCTTGATACCAGAGCAGGTCTCAAGTCACAACTGGTGTGACTATCTGGGTATGACCCCACCTGAAACAAAAAACAACAACAGCAACAGAATTGGAGCTGAACTTGTATAGGCTGAGTGATGAATGAAGGCAGCATAGAAGTATCCCCAAGACAGATGTTGAAGGTAAACAAGTCAAAGATACACAGATATATATGCAACTTATATTTTAAAAAGTAAAGTGCGGGTGTGTATGTGAGTCCCCCTGTGGTTGTGCAAGAGTGCAAGGGTTGTATAAGAGTGCGTGTGCACGGATGGGTGTGTGCGAGTGTGGGTGTGTTTGTGTATATATTTGCATTTGTGCATGTGTGTATGTGTGAGTGTTTTGTGTGTGGTGTGCGTGAGAGTGTGTGTAAATGTGTAATGAAGGGCACTGAGCTAGCCTAGCTCAGTCGGAACTTAGTGCCACACTCCAAGTATCTTTCAAGTATAACTTTGAGCTCCCTGCCACTCAAGGAAGGGCTTGTTAGAAGCTCAGTTGACCGAAGTCATGTTCATGGAGGGTTTTCCTTCATTAGGGCAGTCTTCTGTCTTCTCTGTCCCCTCGTTCTGTCACTGGTTCAGCAGGACTGGGGAGAAAAGAGCGAAGCTGTGCCGCTGCAGGGGGCAGGCGGGCTTCCTCCACCTTCCCAGAGTGTGCCCCAGCCATGCCCAGGTGCGCTACAGGAGATAGGTGGGGGCCTATGCGTTTACCCCAGGCCTCTGTGGAAGCCAGCATTATACCATGTCCTCTCCATGGGGCCTGGGGGGGGGG